ACTACCGCAGCTAACGTCAACAAGAACACCACCTTCAGCAACTTTAAAGTACTCTTGAGCCATCTTAAACTGCATTTAATAACAAAAGGACAATCACGCAGCCGTGAGCCATCACTGGACTATATCTAGCCATGGAACTTCGAATACAAGATAAATTATAAGTTTCACTCTTTTCCTTGATGTTATGGTTATTTAGTCAAGGAGGTTCTCCATGTAATGAAATCAATTGAGTTAACATATTTTGAATCCATGAACAAATTCTTCAATTGTCATATATTTTTTTTTTGAGAAATCTTCAATTATCATATATTGACATATTAGGTGGTCAGAGTATGGTTATGGTAAGCGGTTTTCAGTTAGTTTATGCATTAGGAAGGAACCATAGTTTTATTTTTATCAGTGTGAAAATGTGTCTATGATATGCCCCTTCGCCATTCAAGAAATCACCATATGCTTGGTGACCTTACACCATATGCTTTAGTCTGCGGCAGAGATACAGAGTACGTCGGCGCGTTGCATTCTTACCACTAGATCAAGGTACTGGGGAAATATTTCAAAAACTATTCGAATACTAATCCGAGTTTCACAATTTTGCACAATTACTTTAAAGTTTTTACTCTATGAGTACCATACTATAGCTACATATTCTAAAGCTTTTGTCAATAGATTAAGAGGAAAGCACCTTAAACCTCTCATGCCCAAATTTTTTCCAACATGGAAAAGTTAATAGGTAAGAAACAACGATTATATATGTAGGAAGATGAAAGAGCATAGCTACTTTTCGATTAATATTTAGTTATCCAACCCATAAAGCTACTAAGATACATCTAATCTGAGTAATAATTTTTTTTTACCTCTTCATCAGGACCAGGAAAACCACTTAGGTTAAAATTTTGACGCCAGCCTCTCTCATACAAGAATGAAACAATTGGACTCCTACGAAAGGGTAAGAGCAGCAGATATTAGAAATAAACATTTGGAAAATAAAAAAAATAAAAAAAAGTTAGATGATTCCTAAAAATCTTTTATTACAAGCTTTTACTTGATGCATCAGGAGTCCAACGAAAACGGAAGCCGGGCAAAAAAAACAGCTCGAAAACAGATCAAGAGAATTTTCAGCACTTTATTTGGAGAGCTACTTACAGGAAAAAAGAAGAAATGCTTAATTTAGTCAAGCAATGACATGAATCTTGAAACATCACTAATACCTGAATAGTTCACTCCGAGCTGGTTTAACTTCATTGTATTGTTTTGTTCCAGAAGTAACAGTGAGATCAAGGTAGATATCTTTGCTTGAATATGACTTATTACATTTGCTGCATTTGAAGCCCGATCTGTAGATTGCTGGTCTGCAAGTTTTAAATTCAAAGTCAAACAACAATAACGCCACACCTTGAGTCACTGTTATTTTCTATCTGAAAAACTAAACTTACACATTAAATCCTGAAGGCCCTTTTCTTATAAGAGGTTCATAACAAATTGGGCAAGCAAACAATTCAGCTTCCGTAGCATCCTGAGCTGGAGTTCTCAATTCCTGAACAAGACAGGAGTGAAAACTATACATATAGCTATGCATGATCCTATGCATCAACGAAGAAGAGCAAAGAAATATAGCTATGACCAGCTTTCTTGATTTAATAAGAGTTGAGCCATAAAACAAGATAAATATTTCAATTTTATCATTCATAACTGATACACATCACAGTCTAACATTACCCAGCATCCAATTGGAGTCAACACACTCATCATAAAAACTTAGCTCCCAAATTGAAAATATGGTTATGCTTAGCTAATAATTACATCAATGTAGCAGCAATAGCCGAAAATCATTCAGTACATCATCAATCTATCGTGGTCTCACAATCAAATCCCAGCAGAGAAAAAAACACTAGGTGATTTCTTCCATGTGTTCTAACCTTGGTGGATAGAATTACGTGCTACCTATTACTAATGGAGGTGTCAGATATTCTGTGGAATTAGTGGAGATGCGAAAAAGCTGACCCGGACACCAATAGAATATGTGCTGCTCAAAAAGAGACTTATACTGATAAATTCTCAAGTTCCAATTTTTGAGTCACAAGAACATCAGAAATCACTACGGTGAAAAACACAAAAAGGTTCAAACTTTCACAATTCCAAAAATTACCGGTTCTACAGCAACAGCAGAGGTAGCCCTGATTCTTGAAGTGTACCCATTTGAGGAAAACCTTGTAGGAACACCAATTCTTGAATTCAAAGAAACCCCATGATGTTTTGGAACCACAGAACGATGATGATTCAAAGAAACTGAAGCAGAAGCAGTAGCAGCAGCCATTGATGAACTTCAGCTAAAACTGATGAGGGCTTTCTTGTCTTTTCCCCTTCCGATTTGATTCTCTGTGAGTGTAGAGATACATAAACAAGCCTATATATATGGGTGTTTTCACAATGGAGAGAAGAAAAGGAGGAATTTTTTTGTGATTTTGATTCATTTTTGTCGTCACCAAAGTTAGCTCTTTTGTTTGAGGATCAATATTGGCCACGCCATGTTTATTTTAGTTTTACTCTCGAGGGTCTTTTGCCAAAGGTATTGGAAAAATAATACGACATCATTTGATAACGTGTATAAAAATAATATTGGATATAATGTGTTAAGATTATTTTTTATGTCATGTTTTAGTTTAATGTATTATACTCCTTATATAATTGAAAATCTCAGGAATTGAGGGATAGTTATGTTATTAGTCAATTTGATACATGTGTTGGATTCTCAACCATATATTCATACTTTACGGGTTCTATCACTTCCTGAAATATTTAAAAATAAAATTATTACCTTCTTAATTGTTTATCTCGCAAAGTGAATGTGTTTCACTCTTCTTGAGAGAGTGAGTAGCAAAAACAAATATTACTAAAAGTTTATTTTTAAACCACCATTCACCAACCTTAAACAACCATCGCCGTCGTTGTTGTTGCCCATATTTTCTCCAAATCAATCTTTAAGAAATTAGGATTGAAAAAATGGTTAAAGAAGAAAGGAAGAAGATGAAGGAGAAAAAAAATAATAGTTAACTAGTTAAATACATGTGTTAAGTGAGTGTATTTCACTATAGACACATGTCTGATTATGACGTTTTAAGGGGTTATATATTTCACTTTTAAATGTTATATGAGTGTCTAGTTAAAAATCTAACAATAGGTTAGGAGGGCTTTTGACCATTTTCTCTCTTTTTTAAACCTATTAACTTTTAATTTCTTAAACCTCATTACTCAAATTCATTATTGATTTTTTAGATTGACATCGAATTGATCCATTAAAAGATAAAGTGACGTTTAATAAAGGAAATTGATCTCAAAACTTATAATTAAGAATAAAAAAACACAAATCATACCTCAAAAATAAATTCTTATTGTCTAAGATATATTGTTGTAACTTCAGTCCACAACTAAGGAAAGTCATTTTTCCTCTGATGGATCAAAAATATTTTCAGACATTCAAAAAACAGAAAATGATTTATTATTTTAAAAAATTTCAAAATATGACTTTTACCGCACTAAAAATATACAAAATACTTAATAAGACGGAAAACCAAAGATCTATAGTTTTAGCTTTTGCCCACAAATGAAGAAAGTTAGTTTTCCGTCCGATGAAAAATATTTTTAGACAAACAACAACTTATTTACATCAAAAAATGACTTTTATCGCAATAAAATTTCCAAAATACTTAATAGTAAAACCAACTTTTAACTTTTATAGCTTATAAATCACTTTTAAAAAGTCAGTCTAAATACTTCTTCCTATATAAAAAAAAATCTCAAAAAATAACTTCTATCTCAACAAAATATCCAAAAGACTTAATAGAGAACTAAGGAAAGTCAAAGATATATAGTTATAACTTCGGCCCACAATTGAGGAAAGTCACTTTGTCTCTCCATTTGATGAAAAATATTTAAATAAAAAACGACTTACTCTAAAAAAAAAAAAATTGAAAAATAACTTTTAGGCGCAATAAAATATACCAAATACTTAATAGGACTAATTATTAGGACTTAGCCTAACATAATCTGATTGCAAGTATGGTTGAAACCATTCTTCATAGAAACTCTTCTTTCTTCTATTTTTGCACCCAATGTCTTTGCACAATTGATCATTGTACCATATGTGTAGTGCTGCAATACAACTCCTTTTATACTCTTTTCCACCATATGTTTTCATGTAATCTTCCCACTTTTGTATCTCATTTTCCATCTCTTTTATGTTTGGTAACTTGAATGTTTGATCAAGAAAATGTGCTAACCATTGGCACCTCATCTCAGATGTGTGGAGATTTGTTATGCTACCTGAGTATCCAATTATTGCTAGGTTTGGTATTCTTGGATGTATTATGTGCCTGTCAAACATATTCAGTGTTATTCTACAAGTGGAGTCTCTCTGGAGAGGATAGGATGTACGTGAACCTTAGGCTCAGCTTAAATAACAAGATGTGAACAAACAAAAGAAACAATAAGTAATATTGGAAATTGAAGAATAAACTACTACGCGAATATTAACATAAATGCCAAGATTTTGCAAAAAGAAAAAAAGAAAGGGAAATCATATCATGAACATGGATCTTATTACTATTACTATAATATATTCAGTATAATTCTATAAGTGGGGTTTAGAGGGAATAGAGATCAGGTTGTGACCATCAGCTCAAAAGAAGTGAAATCAAAGCATGACTGAAAAGAAAATAACGATAACAAAAACATTATCAATATCCCCAAAGTATAACTAGGGCTACAACAACAAGGGATAGTTTTATAATTATAAATTATAACTAAGGGTAATTTTATAATTTTAAACCATTTCCAATAATGTAAGGGTAAATTTGGAATTTTTCAACTTTATTATACTTTCTCCTTGTGGGAGTGTGTATATGTTTTTTTTTTCAATAACACTAAACTAGTAAATTATTAAACTACTCTAGACCTTATTACACGATTCAGAAAGCATTCATGCATGTGATACAAGTGAACATCTACGAAAAGACAAGAGATAGTACTAGAAGTAATGTGTACCTGTAAAGAGGAATAATTGAGTTTGGTGATCCTACTATGTGATTTTGAAACTTTTTTGAGGAAAACATATTCTTCAATTTTTCTTGACCTTTATATCCAGTAGCAAAGATAACAAGGTCAGCTTTTATTGGCTTACCAACTTCTCCATCAAGAATTAAGCCTTGTTTGATGAAGGAAAAATGTTGTATTTTCTTTAGAACAATGCTTCCTTCTTCAACTTTTCCATAGAAATTATCAGGCAATAAAAAGGACTTGCAAGAAGACATGTCTTGAAGAAAGCTTTGTTTTGGTACCATGTTGTATTTCTTCAATGGTAACTTCCATGTAATATAACTCTCCACAAATTTTGAGAAACCCCATCTCTGAAATAAATAATTATATATTGTTCAATAAAGCAAATAATATCATACAAATGAATAATTATTTTCTTTGTTTCAATTTATGTTATACACCTGATAATGTCTATCTACACATCAAACTAATGGATGTATGACACATGTGTTGAAATATACACAATTGTTATTGATTAATCACTTAACCATGGTATTTGATTGGTTTGAAGTAAATACTCGATTTGAATAAGTATTTACCCTTTGGAAGAAAGCTTTTTTTTATTTAAGAAAAAAAAAACTTGTGATCTAATAAAATTCATAGATATTTGTGTGATTGTAAAAAATTCTATTTTTTTTTGGATAAATACTAAAAAGAAAAATATATAACATAAATTGAGACAAAAAAATATTTTTTTATTCCAATTAGTGTTCTATATGACAAGTTAAAAACCACAAAATATAAAGACATTTTCAAACATTATAAATATCTTTAGTTTAAGATACATCACATTACATAAAAAAAAATTCTTATTTTCTTAAATTTCTTATCAAATCAAATTAAGACACATAAAATAAAATACAACATTAAAGTAGTAATATTTTTGGTTTTTATTTTTTCTTCAATGTATGGATTTCAAGAAACTTTACCATAGGAGCAAGTAGAGAGGCCACCACACTATATATAATGTTTTGGCCAGGCTTGTGAACCAAGAGCTCTGAAAATCGACTACCATATAAATTTCCAAGAGTAGCTCCCCACCAAAAACATCCACTAGGGAGTGCCCATGGTATTGTTCTTTGTACCAATGTACAAGGAATTTCAGGACCTAAGTCATAAAACATACAACCACATTAAAATTTATTCATATTATCAGTATACATAACTTAAATGTTATCATCAAATAAAGTTACGTTATTTCTTACCATTAACATTCGCGCATTCAGCCGCTATATCTATAGCTGATTTTTGAGAACCAATAACCGCAACTCTCTTCCCTTTAATAAGTTCTCTAGCACTTTCATTATCCATGGCTGAGAAATCCATAGAATGTATCACTTTTCCGGCGAAAATGTCCGGTCCTTCACCAAGAGGAAACTCCGGCATATTTGCTAAACCACTATACCTTCCAATGCATAGAATCAAAAACTCGACTTCATATTCCTGAAACGATTACAACAGAAAAAAAGTTTAATTTTTATATACTGATAGTAACTGATTAAATGTGTTAAAGCTCTTGTTCATTAATATTCTATACCATATAATACACTTTTAAATATTAAAGTTGTTAGAAAAATATTTTTTGTATGGTATTCATGATGGTAATGACTGATCGTAATGGTTGTGTGTGTTGGTTGAGGTTGTAATTGATGGTAATGTTGGTTGATTGTGACGATGATTGTGGAAGTAAGTAGAGGTAATGATAAACTTACCTTAGTGTGGTTATAAATGGGGCTAGGTGATGGGAATGGTGACAACTATAATAACCTTTGTATATCAATTAGAAAAAAATATACATTGAATCTGATCATACCTGAATGGTGAAGTCTTTATGTTCTACTAAATTATTATATAACAATCTATTTACACCAATTACGGAAAAAGTAAATAGCGAATCTGATCATATCTGAATGGTGAAATTCTTATATTATATTAAAAATAACCGACAGATATATAATACATGTATAATATATATAACCATGTAAATTAATATTATATAATAATTTTATGTACACCAATTACAAAAAAGTAAACAGTAAATCTGATCGTACCTGAGTGGTGAAGTCCTCATGTTGCACCAAGATTTGCCATTTCCCCTCAGAGCCAAATGCATTTCCATTTCCACTCCAAAACTCCCAAGAATCCATATCATAACCACTAACTCCAACATAATTAATCCCAATAACTTTAGTATTCAATTGAATATATCCCATTAACCCAAAATGCTTTGCATAATCTTCAACATACTTCAAAACTTCTTTGTTATGAGGATACCTTCCTCTAACACTTTTAGGCCATGGAAAATCAGTAAATTCAAATGTCCTTTTTGGACTTTGTAGCCTTGTTGATTCAATTGTTTGTGTCCAAACACCACCAATTGCATTTGAAGCTTCAAAAACTATAGGAATTAAACCTTTTTCTAATGTATATTTGCATGCTAAAAGACCACTAATTCCACCTCCAATAATTCCTACTCTTTTTTCCTCCATGATGAAACAATTTTTTTGTTGTTGTTCTTCAAGAGACTGAAAATAAAAAGGATATAAGAAAAGGTTATAGATAATTAATATAAATAATTAATAGGAGAATATTAATGTTATTTTTTTATTTAATTTAGTTGTTGTTGGACTTCATGTTGATGTGTTGTAATGCCAAGATAAACGTGAAATAAAATATTTGCACGAACCAACTATACAATCTATATATATTGTGAGATGTTTATGTAGTTGTCATTTTTTATAAAAACATTTAATTATAACAATAAAGTTAAAAAGAAAAATGTGAAATAAAAAATTTGAACGGTTTTTTGAAGTTCACACATTTGTCTATCTATATTACTAATACAATCAGATCATTCTATAAAGACATTTAACTATAATAACCAAGTCAAGAAAAATATGAATTAAAAAAATTACACGATTTTTTAAAGACAGAATGACCTAGAAGACCTTTGTATTTGTCTCTGTTTGTCAGTTGAATCCTTATAGTTAAGACATTAGCAATTGAACCTTTAAACTCACTGAAACACAACATTTTATCATTTTTTTCTCGTCAATTAACTAATCAACCTAGTCCACCGATTTTCATAGATCGAATTGATCAATTTTTTTTTATCTATCCAGACGTTTTCGCTCCACGCACCCTTTTCATTAAAATCGATCTTTTATACCAAACAACCTTTTATACCATCCTTTTCATTTGATTTTTTATTAGTTATCCTCTAAAATCCTTTTTGTTCGATTTTTACCTAGTTATCTTTTTAAAATCCTTTTTGTTCGATTTTTGACTAGTTATCCATTAAATTCGATTGGATCGATTGATCGATCGACCGATAATAGTCATGATTTTAGCAATCTATAGAAAAGAAAGGATAAACATGAAAAACTATTTAACAAACATAAAATTTTAAGAAGTAAAAGAGCAAAAATGAAAATAAAAAGGCATGGGATAAATGGTTACCTGGGTAAGAAGTTCTAGACTGATATACCCATGCTAACTTCTTGAAAGAAATAAAACTTTATATTAAGAACCAATAGACCTTTATATAAGTTAACAAAATTTAGATATTAGGAGTTACAAACAATGTGGTACAAAGAACCAATTAAAAGACAAAATTTGAATATATGGTCAAATTAGTTAATAAGTTTAAGTATAATCCAAACTTGATTGGAGTAAGTATCTACTAATAAGCTTACCCAAAAATAAAAAAAGTATCTACTAATAATACTTCAAGATTTAAAAATATTTCCTTATCTACACAATTAATGTTTTAAAAGCAAATCCAAGAAATTAAATGAAATAATTCATTTTTTGACATTAATTTAATATAAAATAAGGTAATATATAATATTGAATTGATTTTCGGACATTGATTTAATATTAAATTAGAAATTCTTTGGATACAATATAGTAGATATTAAGCTGGCGTTTGACCATAGTTTTTCGAATATCTTTGGCAAGTTATTTTTGGTTGAAGTTTGACCAGCCATAGATTTTGAGAGAAATATTTGAATTTTTTTTTAAAAAAAAATGATTTATAACCCTAAGTTTGTATTTATCATTGTATGATGAATATGTTTCATGAAAAGTGATGACAAGAAACACAATTGATATGAATCTGAAGAAGAAAAATACTATTATTATTACTACTGTGATTGGAAGTGACTTCGGAGATCAAGCTCAGATAAAAACTATTTTAAAAAAATAAAAAAAAACAAAAAAACAAAAAAAAAACACATATATATATATAATTTGTACAATAAACCATAACTAAATTCAGTTCAAAACTATAAATGACGGATGTTTTATAAAATATAAAAGTTTGGGATAATTTTTAAATTTTTAAAAGTTTCCAAATAATAGAATTTGGTCGAAATACTATTCTAGTATTTAGAAATTTCGATTGTTTGCAAAAAAATATACTTGCCAAATAATGGCAAAGCGTATGTCAGACAATATTTGCCAAGTTTTTTCCCAAATATTTTTGAAAATATTTATGTTCAAACAAATATATATCAAATTATTTTTGGAATATTATGTACATAAATTATTTAATATTAAATCAATTTCCAAAAATGATACAATATAATAGATATTAAATATAGTATCAATTCATTTTTGGACAATGATTTAATATTTAAGGGGATCCATTATTTCACTCCAAAAATGAAAATGATATTATTTTTCAAATTCATAAGATTAAAAGGTTAGTGCGATTTCTACATTGGGTATTTACATCAAATGAAATAATTTAATTTTAGCAATAAAAATTAAACTAAAAATAAATAACAACTAGCCATGATTAATTTATAAATGTGCGTATTGCATTTGTTATTTTGTTGTACGCATAGCATATAAATATTGTTTCCCCCTTTAAAGTCAATCAATTTATTATTTTTGGTATTATGCCAAAGAAAATCTACCCCAATTAAGTAAGACAAATTTATATTCAGGGTTCAAATCTAAAATTTATAATGAAAAATAAAAATAAAAATAAAAAGAAATCCTGATGTAATTTATCAAATTAAGGATTGAAAAATACTCTACTTAATTATTATTCTGTTACAATTCGTGTTAGTCCATACGCATAATATGTACATATTCTTTTAACACACAAAAAATATATTGAAGTGAATATCAAGAAATATCTTCATTCAAACATGAATATTATTTAGAAAACATATAAATTGGATTTACCGGAAATATTATCTCTTGAAATATAACTCCATCCCTCAATTTTGCAATTTTCTCCTATTATTTTCAAACACGAGAAAATTCTAATGTAAATAATGAATATAAAAAAATGCAACATCAAAAATTATATCAGACATCATAATATATAAAATAATAGAAATTAGACGTCAAAAAATTATATCAGACAACATAAATAGCGCAAAAAATAGAGCAAACTGCAAAATGTTCACCTCCTAAAATGAGTTTCTATCAAATTGATCTGTTAAATTTACAAACCAGGCTTTTTAAAACATAATATATTTGACAAAAAGATTAAATGTGCTCACTTTTTGACAAATTTAAAAAGTCGAAAAATACTTAAATATATTTTTAAAAAGGCATAATAGATAATTAGGCATCTTAATTTGATCTTAACTGATAATTAAGCACTTCCAATTTTGAAAATACACGTCTAGACACCTCAACTCATCTCGAAATATTATCTCAGTTGAACATTCCAACTAACAAAATAATCTAGACACCTCCAAATTTATGTGTAATGTCCGTGAGTGTCCACGAGACACAATGGAGATCACTAGTTGATCAGATGTCTAGATATGCATGTTTTCTCAAAGTTGGAGTATTTAATTGTCAATTGAGGCCAATTTAAGATGTCTATCCATGTATAATAATGTCTTTTTAAAACTATAGATATAATACATAAATAGATACTTAAACTTGGTTCCGCTGATAAATAAACACTTCAACTTACAAAATGATCATCAAGACATTTTCAAAATTTATTTGTCATATTAGCGTTGAATATCCACTATATACAACTAGGACAAATTAAAATATCTAAGTATTCATACATTCTCAAAATTTGAATGTTTAGCGCTATCCATTGAAATTAAATTAAAATCCCTTATCTATGCATTATATCTTTTTAAAATTATTTTACACCTGGCCAAAATATGATTCCTACATCTTACCTGCCATTGGAGTAGAATATAATATTGAATCATATGAAAGGAATTCTTTTATTTTATTTTTAACAATGTCAAATTTAGTTTGTGGGAAATAATATAAATTTTCCCCAATTTAATTAATCCCACATGCCGGCCCTAGGGTACTTCTCTAATTAAGAAATAATAATCAAATTTAAGGAGGAATGTATTATCTTAGTTTAAATCGATATATTACAATTCATCATTAGTGTATACATTTTAATCGTTAGCGTAAGAGATTTTTATTTCATCAGTAACATTTACATGTTATGAAAAATAATTTATATATGTTATTCTTTTAAAATTATAAATCTCATATTTTAAAAAGATTTGGGTGCAAATACATTTTGATAAAATAAATAATTAATTATAAACATGATATATTGTTGGTAGAATATAATCCATGTTAGTGATAGCCAAATTAATAATTAGAAGAAGATCTTTAGACATGGTCACAAGTAATCCTTGACTTTTTCCTAATTCTCCTTATCATTTAATGAGATAATGTTATTTTTAAATTCTCTTTTAACATGGGATATTATTAGAAACACATATTTTTTCAATGAAAAATTCTATTGGAGATCTCAAAAACCATCGAAAACAATTTATGCAACACAATAGAAGGTCGTTAGACTATAGCTTTGCGCGAAGAAAGATACTAATCAATTTTCAGAGAGAAATTTATCGGAAAAATAAAACACGTATAGAAAACAAATGATCATAGATTACAATGGATAAATAAATAGAAAAGAAAAAGTAGAAACTCCACTTACCTAGTAAAGGAGATGAATGAATCACATGAAGATCAAAACACCCAATGATTAAATGAACAAATATTAATTGAAACTTAATTAGCTTGTGGAAATATATAACTTGAGGCATTTTTAATTAAGCCTATCTCCCCAAATATAATTAAAATGGCCGGCCTTAGGGTACATTTATTTTCTTAGGAAGACATTTTCTTAGTTTCAATCGGCTATATATATTAGCTCTAGTAGTAAAAAATTTCTATCGAAAACAATTTTTCTATCCTTACAAGGTAAGAATAAAAATTTACGTACACACTAACTTCTCTAAATTCTATTAGTGGAATCATACTGAATTTGTTGTTATTATTGTAGATATTCTTTTTTGTTTCTTCTTATATGTGTTCGATACTTGTTTTGAAGTTCTAACTAATTCGAATTCACTCTTATAAGGCTTACTAAAGAGGAAGTGCTCCCTACGCTCCAACCCAAGAACTCTGCTTTACATTGGAGCATTGACAGAGCCACCTTTTTACACTGCTTCATCAAAAAATTACATTGCAT